GTAAAAGCCATTTACTCCTACGGTGAACAATTTCGTTTGTCTAATTTTTAAGAGAGACGTAAGCCAGCGTATCCTATGAGTAAGTTTGTCGTAGCAGCCCATCATTCAAGATTACGGCCTTACGGAATCTGAACCTCAGATCTGTTTTAGCAATTCTTTTTTTACTAACAGAATTATTTGACAAAACAACTTAATAGGACTGTGGTTTGCTCATTTAGCGGACAGTCAGCCTCAGTTTGGAAGGTTCACAATACTCCATCAACGAAACAAGTTATTTTGCACAGATGTATAACATAATTGAGCAGTGGCTTAGGAATGACTGAAGGATCATCGGGCAATATGGATAATACTACAGTTGAGCTGACTTTCTAAAATGTCAAAATGACCTAACAATATTTTTAAGTGTGTACGATTAAGCTAATAAACCAACCAACTGCGATTGGAGCCTGATCAAATCACTGAATTACAGTAGCATGATTAAATAAAATTAAATAAAAGTGATTAATTAAAACCGTAGCACAGTTATATTTGATTCTGAAATCTAGCTGACAGCGTCAAGCAAAAAATGGTTTGAATTCATTGGCTATATTTCTCCGTTTATAATCAAAGCGAGAAAGACTATGCAGTTTTTTCCAAGCAAAAGTGGCTGCTGCATGAATGCCAAATCCGTCTATATACTTTGGAATTACCATTTCGCCTTGCTAGTCAGCTCATTATCACTGGAAGTTTAACGCGACAGTGGGAAAAAAGTTCAGCCCTGACGATGCTACGGTGTGCGACGTAGCGAAACGCATCGGCAATAAACTATTCTATCATCTGTTGTATTTGCAGCCCTGAACCATGATTCATTCAGACACCTATTTGCATAACTCTGGGCCAAGAATAAAGAACCTAAGGGATCATCGATTGAAGAATGGTTCAGTTGGCAACAAAAGAAGCCCCTGAGTGGTAGCACCGATGTTTTGAGCAGCTCTTCTTCATAGTCTCCGCTTCACTAAAAATGACTTTCCGTTCATTCTGAAGTTTCGACTCATTTTGAGGTAATTTACAGTTTAAGACGACATTTGCATGCAAAAGAAACGATTGAAGCACGTCACTCAGATCCAGTCAAAGTTACTTGACCGACTTATAGTGTCTGACGCAACAAGTCAGTTTCTCTTCACACAATGCACGGCATAGCAGCCACAACGGTGAGTTGCGTAGCGAAATATTCAACTGGACTGGAAAAATAGTAGTAGTGTATAAGATTTTAACACTGGTTTGGGAAGCTCCAACATGACAATGCTTCTTTTAAGGACTGTTAGAAGGCTAGATGACGTTGAAACTCAGCTACCTCTCAGGTATTGCCGCTTTTAAACCGTTCTTTCCTTAGATAAAGGGGTCGTAGTTGCGATATTTTGGATAAGTGATGAAGATGTTTCAGAACGTATACATTGAAGGTTGACTTTCTAGAAGCAGCGAAAAAGCAAAAGAATAACTTCTGACGTTTTAAAAAATATTGAGCATCTGAAATCATCTGCTTTCGTCATTCAGTCAATAGAGTCTGCTCAAAGGGTCCTTCAGATCTCTTGAAAATAATGCATCACGTATCCAAAAAATGACGAAAATGACTGTAAGAATGGTGAATGGCAACATGGGAAGGTATTGTTTACAATGATCTTTAAACTTATTCGACTGCCAATTCTAAACATGACCGTAAAATATTGTATTTTTTATTTGAATACTGTAATGAACAAAGCGACAAATTCACAGTGTGGTCATTCAGTTTAAGTTTTCAGGAATCAGTTGAGATTTTCATTGTCGCAAAGGCCAGTGCATGCAGTTTATCGTTAGATCTTCACATACGCTATTGGTTCTTCTTCTTACAATGCAAGGAAAGAGCGGTAATGATCTCAACTGAAAATGAAAGGAATTAATAATGGGAAAGCAATGAATTATGAAGATGTCAAATTTAAATTCGTCTCGAAAGGAGCTGTGATAAATCGTACCTTTTCACACGGATTTCTTCTCGTTTTTCTTCTCATGTCTCATTTTTTCGGCAGCTTTTCTAAAAAAAATACAACTACAATTCTACACCCTACTAAATGAATTAAAGCGGATTCAGACCTCGTTTTCCTATCTGCCAATCTCATACGAATTTGCACGTACTCGCTTTCCATTAAGCCAACAGTTTCTGCCATTGTTTTGCCTGTTTCGAGTGTTCTTCGGGTCCTTAAGCCATGTGCATTGCTGGCAGAATTATCCATTGACATCGATTTTATTTCGTCGCTAAAAACCGCGGCACAAACCTTGCCTTTCTCTTGACTCGTCTTGGAAGTGGATATACTGCTGTCTGATATGGGACTTCGCCTTCCGGTTATGGAAGCGTCGCTGGAAGAAGAATCAAGCTGACGGCTACCCACCGAGCTGGCCAATTTCGCACTTGTTATACTACTTTCAGCACTTTCGGTAGTCTTCGAATCTTTGCTGCTGCTTGCAGATGATTGCAGTGCCTGTTTTCTTTGCTTCGTTAGTTCCTCCTGCCTAGAAGCAACAGAAGAATGTCCTGCTGCTGCCATGGAGGATGTCTGCTCGCCTCCAGGCATTCGGTCTTCCCTTTTTGCTCCTTCCGCAGATGCCAACGATGGTGCTGCCAATTTTTGCTTTTTTCTGAGATCCAATGCTGCTGCAGAATTGCCTGTTGCGAGCTGCATGTCCTCTTTAACGTGAAGACGCTTTTTGGTTCCTTTGCCTTGCAGCGATTTGAGAGGTTGTGAGGTTACCTTTTGTTTCAGTTTGCTCTCGGCATCGATCGTTTCGCTACTTTTCAAATCATGAGCACCACTATACCCTTCTTTGGTAACTTTCTTGACTTTTCTGTGAGGCATTTTGGTATGCGACACGGAAAGCTTGAACAGAACTGGCCTTCCGTTTTCCAATGACTCCAGGGCATTACTGAGCGAAGTTGACGGTTTCCGAATTATCACAGAACTTCGTTTTTCCTTTACAATGTTTGCCTCTTCATCAGATGATGATCCAGATGTACGTGATTCTGTGGAGGTAGTACGTTGAGTGATCTGGACATCCGAGCCCACTGACTTTTCCTTGCTGCCGGTGATTTCACTAGCAGACCACTCTTCGCTGCCTCGGGACTCTGTATACGGTTTTGCTTTTTCACTCATATCTTTCAAAATGCTTTTGACACGCCTAATCACGCCCCATTTGGCATTCTCGCCGATCTTGTATACAGTAAACAACAGCAGTGGAAAAAAGAAACCCCAAGTTATCAGCGCGATGACTGAATCTTCTTCATCATGCGACTTTTGTGCTGCCAAACAAATCATTGCGATGAGTTTCGCATGCAATGAAGTCGGATGGAGCGACCTGCCTTTCCGTTATTAATAACTAATTAGTCGAGGAGTAACTTACATTATCGAACAATAGTAATAGTTTAAAGTTTGGTTTAAAATTCATTCATTACTGCAGGAGCTGAATGTATATGCAAAAGTTGATATTTTTGGTTCACGATTATACATACGGCTATGGGGCAGTCTAATTGCGACATTAACATCAGACTGGCAAAAGAAAGTATTCAACGTCATACCTGTAGCACTACCTGATCCAAATTATGCAACCACGACATCCCGATGAGGAAAGCGGAAGAAAGCGGGCCGCGATCAAAGCATGCATCGTGTGAGAGGACGAATTCAGGGTTTGCTTATAATTCAGAGTCGCCCCAGTAGCCATAAAACTTTGCGATGAACTTGGACGTTGGCAGCGATGGAGAGCTTGTTGTAAACTTACAGCACAGCTTTTGATGTTTTAGAACATTTAAATCGCAAACACTCAAAAAAGCAAAGAATGTCTACATTCTCGGTAAGACCGTGACCAGGATTGTTCTTCTGACTTTTAGACTGCCCTCCTATTATT